ACTACCGTAGGAGCCAACAGTACTATCGTGAATTACCAGAGGGTAATAGAGACCCTCATGATAGTAGACGTGGTACAACCACAGAAGTACCACCCAAGCAGTATTACCGCAGGTGCCAGCGGTACTACTGCATATTACCAGAGGGGAACAGAGACCCTCACGGTAGTAGACGAGGTATAACTACGGAAGTATCACACAAGCAGTACTACCGTAGGTACCAGCGGTATTATGCCGCTTGGTAGATACCCGTAAAGCCAGAATAGAACGTAAGGAATGCTCCAAAGTTGGGGAAGGTACCGTGGGTGCATATAGGTTGTGTACGTGTTGAATCCATCATACTTTCCAATCGGACCTTCTCTTAATAGTACGGATTCCCTACTACTCAAATCAAAAGAAAAGAAATGTCGGAGAACCCATCTTCGCTCTTTTCCTAACTGAGGGGAATAAAACTGTCTTGTGCCATAGATATGAATCTCTGAAATGTTCAATGCACATGGTTAGTCCACAAAACTCATTGTCATCAACATCAAAACCAATTAGAGAGAGACATGCCCTTTCATTAACTGAATAAATATTATAACTAGAGCATACATTTCATTTTGCAGTCTACTATTAGTCATTAAGGTCTTTGAAAGCTTATACAGTATATCTATATACAAAAGTAAGTCACATAAGTCAAGTTAATAATATAATAACATAAGGTTAAGCTTCGTTGTTTGTAACTAGCATGTTCATTAAAATTGACTAAGTGTCTATTCCCTAAATTTGGAACAGGTTTTACATACATAAACTTACTACATCCATTTTTTGTTATAACAATCGATAGCCAAAATTTTCATAGTAGGAATATTCAGTAAGTCCAAAATGTGATTTCTTGGAGGAGAACAAGAGAGTAGACACACTATAACTTTAATCAACACTATAGCGTTTCGGTACAGTAGCAAAACGATACTATACAATTCGGATCACTGTAGCGCCCTATTTTTTGCTGACTTTTTCCGAACACCTTATTAAAAGATGAATATATATGCTGAAGTTTTTTTAATATACATTGAACAATTTTAAAATACAGTGAGCATATTTGTAAAATAACATTGAAAAATTGACAAATACATAATGAACATTTTTTAATACATGATGGACATTTTATAATGCATCGTGAAGATTTTTTTCAATATATGATAAACATTTTCTTGATATAAAGAGAAGAAAAAAGAAAGAAAACACTTAAACAGAAAAAGGAAACATAAAATAAATAAAAACGAAAGGAAGAAAGAAACAAAAACAATGAAAAACCAGAAGAAAAAAAAAGACATGGAAAATAGACCGTACAAAAACATCACGTGAATCCGTACGTGGGTTGGCCCAACTGGAGGCTCGCTTAAGCGAAGCCATGACTATTTTGACGGTGGCTCCTATATGGCGTGTAGGTCGCTGGCTTGCGACATAGCGCGTACCCGAAATCACTAGTTGACGAGTACACGTTACAAAAATCACTTCAACCTTGCTATAAGTGGCGCGCTGCATGTGCGCCATTTGTCGCAACCTGAGAGTTTTTCCCTTTTTTCATAGATCCGTTTATTCAAAATGTTTTATCTCTTAAACCGTGCGTCCAAATCTCGAACCGCTTTCACCCTTGGATTTATCGTGTCGAGATCTTTAAAACTAGATCCCATGTTGATAGATTTTGACGAACTTTTTTTCACAAGAAAACGGACGAAAAAACAGAACCGGGAGTATGGGATTTTCCCCTTTCCGAAAGAGGCGCACCCGTGCCTCTCACGAAATCACAACCGTGCCTCTCACGGAATCAAAACCGTGACACTCGCGGAAGGAAAAAAAGAAGAAGAGAAAATGCATTTTTTTTCGTTTCCAAGGAGGCGCGGCCGTGACTCTCACGAAGCACACCCGTGCCTCTCGCGGAAGCAAATCCGTGACTCTCGCGAAAGGAAAAAAAGAAAACACGTTTTTTCGCGCAAAAAAAAAATTTTTCTTTTGAAATTTTCTTTTGATCGAATAGGTAAGGAAGACTGGTGAAAAATCAAAATGTTGAAAAAACCAAAAAGAACCGTTTAAAAGGCAGAAAACGCGTGCAGAAAAATAAGAAAACAAAATCTGGAGGAGCGTCTAGAGCGCGACACATGGCAAATGGCTGAGAGCAAGCCAAGTAGCGTTGATCGTTGCGAGGCTCCCGAAGGAGCGCTCGTTAACTAGTTGCCCTCGCACGTACCCCCAGCCCCTCGCACATGGGTGTAAGTATGGGCCATCCATTCTTGAATTTCTTTTCTTTTTTTCCTTATTTTTCTCTTTTCGTTTTTATTTTCAGTTTATGTTTCATTTTTTATCTTTACCTCTACTTTTTTTTTTTCATTTTTTTACGCACTTCCTTTTCAAATTCCCGAATATTTTTTATTCATCGGTTTCCCAAAGTGTTCATCAATGTAAAAAAATGTTCATCAAATACAAAAGGTTTCATCAAATTTTAAAAATGTTCATCAAATTCTAAAAGTTAACATTAAAAAAGATTTATAATTTTTTTTCATTTATGAAACGCCATTAAAATTCGTGAACATTTTTGAAATGATGAACAATATTTTTAATTATGAACATTTTCTAGCATCTGATTTAATTTTTTTTCATCAAAATTCAAACTTTTGTTCACAGAATGACAAAAAAAATAATCATATTCCAAAAAAAATCATAGTTTTCAGAAAATGTTCATCAAATTCAAAATATGTTCATTGAAATCAAAATTTGTCCATCAATTTTTTTAAAAAAAAATGTTCTTGAGTTCAAATTTTGTTCGTCAAGTTCAAAATGTTCATTGAGTTCAAAATTTATTCATCAAATACAAAAAACGTTCGTCATTATTAGAAAATCTACATTTTTGAACAAAATAAGAAAATGTTCATTAACATTCAAAAAATGTTCACTCTTTGGAAATCCCGGACATTTTTTGAATCCAAGAACTTGTTTTTATTTTTGGTGAACATTTTTTGTATCCGTGAGGTTTTTTCATCTCCCAAACATTTTTTATATCATGAGGAATTTTTGAATTCACGAACTTTTCACAATTAGCAACTTTTTCTGAAATTCGGAATTATTTTAAAAACAGAAACAAAGTTATAACAGAAATAAGCAAAAAAAAGGTGGTTCCCACTTTTTCGCACCCCACACATGGGCCGCCGCACGTGGGCCATGTGTGGGGGGGGGCATTAATTGAGGAGTACTCCTTCCAAAGATCACATCCACCTCTCCAGTCAGGGACTTTTCTCTTTTTTCGTAGGCCCGTTTATTCATAATGTTTTATCTCTTAAACCATGCGTCTAAATCTCGAATCGGGAACACGTCTTTTTTCTTTCTAAAAGCTGTTTTCGAGATGCACGTACGTGCCTCTCGTGGAAGAAAAAAAATATAAAAAATGTGTTATTTTTCCGTTTCCCATAGGCATGTCGTGAAAGCAAAATCATGCCTCTCGCGAAAGAAAAAATGAAAGAGAAAATGCGCTTTTTTGTTTCCGAGAGGCACAACCGTGCCACTCGCGGAATCAAACTCGCAGAAACAAAACCATGCCTCTCATGAAAAAAAACATGTTTTTTCGTTTCCGAGAGGCACGGCCGTGCCCCTCGCGAAAGCAAAAAAAAAAGTGTTTTTTCTGTTTTCGAGAGGCATGGTCGCGCCTCTCGCGAAAGCAAATCCATGCCTCTCACGAAAGGAAAATTGTGCCTCTCGCGGAAGAAAATACGCGTTTTTTCATGCAAAATGCTTTTTTTGAAGAATTTTGTCCAAAAGCTTAGAAAGACAGGTAGAGGAGCAAAAAGCCGAAAAACCAGTCCAGAAAGAAGGAAAGCGTGCGAAAAAATAAAATTCGAAGGGAACGGCCGGAGCGTGACACATGGCGGCGGCTGAGAGCGCGCCAAATGATCGTTGGGAGGCTCTCGAAGGAGTGTTTGTCAACTAGTTGCTCTCGCTTGTTGCGCCCGGTAAACCAACCAGCGCTCACGCATAAGCATTCATGGCCCGGCCAGCTAGGCGTCACGCGCGAGCGAGCGAGTGGCTGAGCGGGCACCAGGTTAGACCGGTCCGGCGTTACGAAAAAAGTGTTAGGCCGGTCCGACTATTGCCAGTCAACAGTTGAGTTAAAAAACCAAAAATCTCTGAAAAAACATGAATTCAAAAAGTTCATGAATTTTGAAAACGGTTCACAAACTTTTAAAAAGTTTATGAATTAGAAAAAGTTCATCGATTTTGAAGAAAACTCCACAAATCTGGAAAAGTTCATCAAATTTTTTAAAGTCAACAATTTTGAAGAAAACTTCACAAATTTGAAAAAAGATCATCAATTTAAAAACAAATCATGAATTTTGAATTAAAAGTTCACAAAGTTGAAAAGAGTTCATCATTTTTGAAAAAAAAACTTCATCAATTTTGAAAAAAAATCATTAATTTTGAAAAAAATGTTCATGGATTTGAAAAAAAAAGGTTCATGAATTTAAGAAAACAAAAAAAAGTAAAAAGAAAAAGGAACAAAAAGGAAAAGTGGGAAAAATATAATAAAAACCGTACAGAAATTGACCAGCGAACCGGGAAAAACAGGTTTGAAGCTTCCCAAAACCAGGGCTTCCGCGGACTAGGGAGAGAATAAAAAGGAAAAAGTAGTAATGTTGCACTTGTGTTGTAGCGTCCTAGACTCCTACTAGTGGTTAGTGCTCTGCTGTCTGAATAAAGAGATGTCGAGTTTGAAGCTTCGCGCGCAAACCTTTTTGTTGGAATTAAACAGAGAGGAAATGCGCCAAATATAGGAGCTCCCCTGTTTGACGCCCTTCCGCTCAAATAAAAAGATAAGACTATTCATAGGATTGGCCCACCGCCAGCACCACGTGGGCTGGCGCGTATAAATAGCTACCCCAAGAACCAACCCGAACAAGACTCGCCCCTGCCCAATCTTGATTCTTGACCACTCTTGTTCTTGCTCTTCTACACCCCGCTCCTAGATCGGGATGGGGAAACCGAGGGCCTCCGGTGATGTCGAGAGCAGGGCGCTTGCTTCCGGCAGCGGAGGCGCGACGGCGCCGCTCCTCCACCGGAATGATCGCAAGGAGGATGCCAAGACCCAGGGAGGGTCGCTGTCTATGGTCCTCTTCAGCACCGCGGTCGCCGTGTGCGGCTCCTTCGAGTTCGGCACCTGCGTAAGCCCACCGTCCCCCCCTCTTAATTTCTGTCGCTTCAAAAGTGCCGACAGTGCATTCAGCTAGACGTGCGTCGAAAATTAAGGAGACAGATGTGTGCCTAAAAGGTGATGAGAGATGGATGAGCAAGTTTATACTACGCCAGCAACTTCTTGTCCGGGGAGCTGACCGACTCATATCGTATCCATTTGCGGAATCCCACAAAATTTCATTAGGATTCAAAAAGTTCATGAATGTGGTACACTGTTATTTTCCCTTCTACCGTCAGCATTAGGTTTAGTTTACAAAAGCACAAGCATTTTGGTTTTCATTTTACTTCTGCAAAACTGCGAGGATGGATTTGCACAACATGAATGGTTCTGATCTGGACAGTTGACCAGATTTTGATAGGGCTATATTATTGTGTCACATGCAGCATCTTTTAGCTACAGTCTAGCACATGCAGTACAAGATTTAATTTTCCAAGAATCTTATCGTGTCACACATGATAGTGCTATCTATGATTATGGACAGAGATGATCTGTTTACTCATCCGAGTACCTTTTCAGGTTGGTTATTCTGCACCCACTCAGTTGGGAATAGAGCACGAACTTGGACTATCCATCGCTGAGGTTTGTAACATGATTATTTGTCAGCCATATAGTTATGCAGGATTTCTTTTTCTCCAGTTCTAATCTTCTCTATTCTGACCCAACTAAACCTTGCAGTTCGCAATTTTTGGGTCTGTGTTGACTATCGGGGCAATGATTGGTGCTGTTACCAGCGGACGCTTAGCGGACTCTCTTGGACGTAAAATGGTAGCCTGTGTACTTTTACTTCATTATTAATTAGGCTAGTTTGTGTGTTTTTATTTCACATTCATCTTCTCTCCGTGTCTTATTGTTTTGCTTGTCACAGACCATGCGGATAGCAGCTACTATTTGCATTTTTGGTTGGCTTTCTATACATTTCGCTAAGGTCTGTTAATTACTTGGTGAAGTTATTCCAGGTCTTGTGCTTTCCTACCGATATATTACCTTGATGTTCTAATGTACAGGGTGCTACTATGCTCTATTTTGGAAGAACCTTGCTGGGCTTTTGTACTGGTGTTCTTTCTTATGTGGTATGTATCACTGAATTAGTTCAGCATACACTCTTGAGTCTTGAGTCTCTTGTGTCTCAATCTTGTATCAGTTGTACATGTTCATGTTTTACAGTTTTAGTGTGCCAATGTTGCGCTGCATACTGCAGGTGCCTGTGTTCATAGCCGAAATAGCGCCTAAGGATCTCAGGGGTGGCCTTGCAACTTTAAACCAGGTTTATAACTATAGGACGAAAACTCCATAATCCACATTTAACTTCGTAAATAATTAATAAAGTGACCGTATGCATCGCCTAGATGCAGAGGCCGGGGGTCATCCTCCTTTTTTAAAAAAAACAATTAACTTCGTAAGTTTTAATAGTTTCCACTTTCCACCACCTGGTTACGCATGTGCAGTTGTTGATCGTTTGTGGGAGTTCGTCTACTTACATAATAGGGGCGCTGGTTACATGGCGCAATTTGGTATTCGTTGGTAATTTGTCTTCACACCCATATAAACATGGTTATCTTTTAATTTCATGTTGGATGGAAATACTTAGAAATTTTTGTGTGTGCAGGTATAGTGCCCTGTGTTATCCTCTTAGTAGGGCTTCTCTTCATTCCAGAGTCACCAAGATGGCTGGTAAGGAACTTCAGAGTCTTTGGAGAATGTTCTGTGAAACATAAGGGTTTTCAATTTATCGGGGGGAGAAAATGATCTGTTTGCTCAATGGTTTTCTTGCTTTAATAATACAAAGGTTAGTGGTGATTTACAAATCACCTTACAACCTCCCTTTGCCAGCAAAAGTTAGAATGGAAAGTATAAAGTACTTTAACAGTACTCATGAACTAATATGATGACCTTTGACTTTAGTCATTTCATGATACATATATTTGTATGTTGAATAGCACTGCACATTTTTTACAGGCTCAGGTTGCAAGGGAGAAAGAATTCCACACCTCATTGCAGATGCTGCGTGGAGAGAATGCTGACATATCTAAAGAGGCCACTGAGATCAAAGTTAGCTTTCTGTCCTAATAACCTGTATATAATAGGGTATTCAATAATAATAGTATATGCAAAGAGAATTATACTCAAAATGATCATTTCATCCAGGAGTATATTGAATCCCTCCAAAGCTTCCCAAAGGCCAGGGTGCAGGACTTGTTTTCTGGCACAAATATATATGCGGTCACTGTAAGAAATCACTGTGACTACTACTTCATTTTAAAATGTCATCATGATTTGCGCACTGAATTTGGGATTTGATCATATGAATTTTCTCATAATTCCTAACCTGGAATATCATTCTGATATTATGTGCACAGGCGGGTGTTGGCTTGATGATCTTCCAGCAATTGGGAGGGATAAATGGTGTAGGCTTTTATGCAAGCTCTATCTTTAGTTCTGCAGGTATGCAAATATCATCATCATTGTGCCATTCTTTTTAACAGTTCTGCATGAAATGTGTTGATTCATCTCAACTTCAGGATTTTCTGGAAAACTTGGAACCATATTAATTGGCATTATTCAGGTTTGCGATACACTGTTTTCCATAAATTTTGCTAATTACTAGTACGAAATTTTGTTTATAACCATGATCATTTCAGATTCCTATTACATTGTTTGGCGCCATTCTCATGGATAGGAGTGGAAGAAGGGTTCTTCTAATGGTATAAGATGATACAAAGCTTAGCTAATGTATACAAAGAAAGAATGTTAGGTTGAATTTTGTTTTGAGCTTCCTATTTATACAGGTTTCCGCATCTGGAACATTCTTGGGCTGCTTTTTGACAGGAATATCGTTCTACCTCAAGGTAACAGCATCTTTCCTAACCATATAGTAGTAGAGAAGTTCTTATGAAACTTTTGGGAACATATGGGAGACTGGCGGATTATCATAAGATAATGTTAAGGAGAAAAGTTGTGGCAAGGAAAACTTATTTTGTTTGTTGTTATGTCTGTAACGTGAATGATGAATAATCTTTTAGGCGCACGGATTATTCCTACAATGGGTTCCTTCATTGGCTCTTTCCGGCATCCTGGTAAGGAATATATCACTCCTATATGCATTGTATTCTATTATTGCAATGAATTTCGAAAAGTGCATCTTCTGAATGTTGATCATTCCTGCTGATACTGCTTTTGACATAGGTATATATAGGTGCATACTCAATTGGAATGGGCCCTGTCCCTTGGGTTGTCATGTCTGAGGTAAAGAATAATAATAATCAGAACTTGTTTTGGATTGATAAATCTGCAATAGAACTACAAAAGCGACTGCCCTTTCTCCTGGATTAATTGCTTTGCAGATATTCTCGATTAACATCAAAGCACTCGGCGGAAGCTTGGTGACCCTCATTAGCTGGCTTGGTTCCTTCGCGGTCTCTTACTCGTTTAACTTCCTCATGGACTGGAGCGCAGCAGGTAATGGCACTAACACAACACTGTAGCTCTTCATTTCAGTTTTCCGTCCCATAGCTCCAGTAGTGACAAACATATCTATCTCCAAAGATGTAGAAAAGTAAGAGAAGACTAGTGATTTCCAATTAGTCTTTTAGCTATGTCGAAAAGTAAGCAATCCAGGGAAAAACTAGGAATTTCAGCCGTTACACTTCTCTTGGTAAATATGAAAAGAAATTCTCCAACACAGGTAAATAAGCAAAGTAGGGGCATCAGAAGCAGATTGTCATATTAGAACAGAAACTAATCACACCATATATATGTAGGCAGTTTTGTCACTTACATGTGCTCTCCTTGCTGTCTTGTGCCTTACAGGGACGTTCTTCATGTTCTCTGCGTCGAGCTTGGTCACTATACTGTTCGTGGCAAGGCTAGTGCCTGAAACCAAAGGAAAAACACTCGAAGAGATCCAGGCCTCATTGAATTACGGAAGATAAGGATTAACAGAAACGACCAGAGGCAGCACATATTGACATTTTCCCACTCCCCCATAACCCCGTGCTAGCCTCCCTTTCAAGCATCTTGCTGTAGTCTACTCTCTAGGTTAAGGATATTCAGATTGTAAAGCAACAGAGCACTGTTCTGTTCTTGAGAAAATCTTTACCTAATATTAAAGAGAGGAGGCTTTCATACTTCTTCATACGTCATCTATTTATATCTGTTGATTTTGTGTTAACCATAAATATTGACGATTGAGATTTAAAAGTAGATCTACGTTGTTAAACATGTAACTTGTGTCACACCTTTGAGGCTGCCTTGTGCGCCAAGGTGATTGTATAGGGATAGGATTCTTTTCTTGTTATTCTCTCTTATCCCTCCTGTAATATCTCTTCGGTTGTAACCTATTGAGAGATGGGTCTCTCCCAATCAATATATACACCACGCGGCCCTCTGTATGAGGGTAGAGACGCTTACACAAAACTAACATGGTAATCAGAGCCTCCCTCTTCCTCATCTAGCGATCATCATCTCCATCCTATCGCCCACAACAATTTTTTCGCCCGCACCCTTCCCACCTTCCCATCTCCGGCGCCATGGCCTCCTCCAGCCAACCCCTGTCCACCGGCCTGAACAACACCATCTCCGAGCCTCTCACACGTACCAACTACATCCTCTGGCGAGCCCAAGCTCGCTCCCAGATCATGGGAGCAGGGCTATATGGGTACCTTGATGAAACCCTACCCGAGCCACCTAAAACCATCACCACCAAATCCTCAGACGGGAAGGATCAGATCGGTCCGAACCCAGCTCACACGCCATGGCTCATCCAAGATCAACAAATCGTTGCATACTTGCTCCGAAATCTTTCCAAACAAGTCCTGGTGCAAGTTGCTTCCCTCGAGACTTCTCACGCCATCTGGCCCGCCCTGGCAAACATGTTCTCAGCCCAATCCAAGTCTCGCATCAACAATTGCCGTATTACCCTCTCCAATACCCAGAAGGGTTCCCTCAGTGTCGCAGCCTATTTTGGGCAGATGCGGGCACTGTCTGATGAACTCGTGGCAGCAGGAAAGCCCATCGGCGAGGATGGACTCATCTCCTTCATCATCGCTGCTCTAGATGTGCGAACTGATTCTGTCTCCACCGATGAGCTCTTTGGCATGGTCTCAAACTTCGATCAGCGCTTTGAGCTGTTCCAAGGAACTGGCCCCGGCGCCTTCAAATCTTCTGCCAACGCCGCCTATCGAGGTCGAGGGCCTCCCAAACCCTCTCAGAACCCTCCCAAGGGTGGTGGTGGTCGGGGATATCATGGCGGTCCAGGTGGCAGCAGCGGCGCCCACTTCCAGAACGACGGTGGTGGTGGCGGCGCTCCCTATCCGCATGGTGGTGGCAGTGTTGGTGGCCACTTCCAGCACGGCGGCGGTGGTGGCAGCGGCCACTACAACCAGCGCGGCAACAACAATCTCCCAGCGCCGTAACAACAACAACAATCGCCGTCCTTTCCAAGGGTATGATGAATACTTTAACAAGTGTCAAATTTGCAAGAAAGATAATCACATTGCGAAGGACTGTGTCTGGCGTTATGCTGATTACAACTCCCAACACAAGAAGGTCGCCCCCGCCGCGGAATCGTCCTATGGTGTGGACACCAACTGGTACGCCGACACCGGCGCATCCAATCACAAAACTCATGAGCTGGACAAGCTGACCATGCATGACAAGTACCCCGGGCAAGATCGAGTTCACAATGCAAATGGAGAAGGTATGGAGATAACTCATGTTGGTCATTCAATTATTGCAACCCCTCATCGTGACATTCATCTTAAAAACATCTTGCATGTTCCACAAACTGCCAAAAATCTTCTTTCAGTATATCGCATTGCTCTTGACAACAAAGTTTCTCTGGAATTTCATCCCTATTTCTTTTTGATCAAGGATCGGGTCACACAGAGAATTCTCTATCGCGGTAGATGCGTGCATGGACTCTACCCCCCTTTTCCCGAGTTCAGAAGCTTCAATAAACAAGTTTTCGGTGTCATCAAAATCTCTCCGGACAGGTGGCATGCTAGACTAGGACATCCATCTTTTTTATGTCGTTCAACAAGTGCTTAGAAATAATAAGCTCCCATGTGTTGGTGAGCGTAGTATCGATACTATTTGTGATTCTTGTCAAAAGGAAAAGTCTCATCAATTGCCATATCATATTTTTACTAGTATTTCTACCAAGCTGCTCCAACTTATTTTTTCTGATGTATGGGGTCCTGCACCCTTCTCGGTTGGTAGACATACTTACTATGTTAGCTTCATCAATGATTTTAGAAAATTCACTTGGATCTATCTTCCCAAACGTCGATCTGATGTTTTCCAAGTATTTAAGAATTTTCAAGCACTTGTTGAATGCAAGTTTGATCGCAAGATAATTGTCGTCCAGTCTGATTGGGGTGGCGAGTACGAGAAACTAAACTCGTTCTTTCAAAAGCTTGGCATTTCCTATCATGTTTCTTGCCCTCACGCGCACCAACAGAAGGGCTCCGCTGAACGCAAGCATAGGCATATTGTGGACGTAGGCCTAGCTCTTCTTGCGGGTGCATCTATGCCCATAAAGTTTTGGGACGAAGCATTCCTCACAGATGTCCATCTCATTAATATGCTTCCTAGTCGTGTCATTAATAATGATACTCCCATGCAACGACTTCTTCAAGTTAGACCAGATTACAAGTCTCTCCGTATTTTTGGGTGCGCATGTTGCCCCAATCTTCGTCCCTACAATAATCGCAAACTTATGTTCCGTTCCACACAATGTGTGTTTCTTGGCTATAGTGCCCAGCACAAGGGTGTCAAGTGCCTTGACATACCCACGGGACGTGTCTATATCTCCAGGGATGTCGTTTTCGATGACATGGTTTTTCCTTTCTCCACACTTCATCCTAATGACGGTGCCCTCCTTCGAAAAGAATTACTACTTCTTCCTCCTCATTTGACCTCTTTGCATCACAGGGATGATAATTGTGATCACATGACTAACCCTCCTAACCTTGAACATGAGTCTTCTGGTAATGCAGGGTCGAATGCTGAAGCAACAGAAAAAAATTCGGTGCAAAATCGTGAAGAAAACAGGTCCAATGAGCAGTATTTCATGTGTCCCCCGTGGTGCAACAACCCTGCCACCGAATCCCCCTTGGGATCGCCCACGCCAGAATCTGCCTCGAGATCGCCTTCGATAGACTTGTCGCCGCGCCAGGACTTGGGTGGCAGCGCCTCCCCGGGCTCCGTGACAGACCCACCACAAACAGTTGTGTGGCATACGCGGGCCAGCCGTCCGCGCCACGCGCTCCTCGCCAACCAGGAGATGACACATGGCGGGTTGCGGGCCATCTCTCCCCCACGCGCATGTCGGCCCCTGCGAACCACCTGACTAAGCGATTCAGTGTGGAGCCGCGGGTCTACGCCAGGCGACCGCACCAACCAGAGGCGGGCGCGGGATCCCATCCAGATTCGGCGGCAGCTCCGCCTAGATCTTCTACGCCACCCTCGCCCGCGTCGTCACCAGCATCTGCCACAGACTATCCGACGAGGGAAACTGCTTTGGATCTGCTGCAGCAGATCGCAGGATCCTCTGCGCCAGCAGCGGCTGCATCCATCCCTGATGCACCACGCACACGCCTTCGATCAGGGGTAATTCAACACAAATTACAAAGTTAAATTTGATTTGACATGTTCCACAGGTGAACCTCGTACGTTCCAAGAAGCATGCAGAGATTCACGTTGGAAAAAGGCAATGGAAGAAGAATTTCAAGCCTTGCAGAAAAACAAAACATGGCACCTAGTTCCTGCGCATCGAGGTAAAAATTTGATTGATTGCAAATGGGTATTCAGGATAAATAAAAAATTAGATGGCACAATAGATCATTATAAAGCTAGACTTGTTGCAAAAGGCTTAAAGAAGAGGTACGGTATTGATTATGAGGATACATTTAGTCCTGTCATTAAAGCTGCAACCATCCGTCTTGTTTTGTCCATCGCTGTGTCTAGAGGATGGAGCCTCAGACAGCTAGATGTACAGAATGCGTTCCTTCATGGTGTTCTGGAAGAGGAAGTGTATATGCGTCAACATCCTATTTTTGAAGATAAGAACAAACACTCATATGTGTGCAAGCTTGATAGGTCTCTTTATGGATTGAAGCAAGCCCCTCGAGCTTGGTACTCACGGCTAAGTGCAAAACTTCAGTCACTTGGTTTTGTGCCTTCAAAGTCTGATATATCTCTGTTTATCTACAATAAGTCACATATATCCATATTTGTGCTTATTTATATTGATGATATTATTCTTACAAGTTCATCCAGTGTAGCAGTAACAACCTTGTTAAAAGACTTGAATGCAGACTTTGCTCTCAAGGATTTGGGAGACTTGCACTTCTTTCTTGGTATTGAAGTCAAGAGAAACAGGGAAGGTGGTCTTCATCTTTCTTAGGAGAAGTATGCAGTTGATCTCCTGAGCAAGGTTGGCATGCAAGTGTGCAAATCGTCACCCACACCACTGCTAGTACAAAAAAGTTATCTCTTGAAGGAGGTGAACCTTTGAGCCAAGATGACAACACGAGGTACAGAAGCATGGTAGGAGCACTTCAGTACTTAACCCTTACAAGGCCTGATATTTCCTTTGTTGTAAACAAAGTTTGTCAATTCCTTCATGCACCTACCACTGCACATTGGACTGCTGCAAAACGCATATTGAGATATGCGAAGGACACTTTGAGTGTTGGTCTGACATTCAACAAGTCACCATCCACTCTTGTTAGTGCTTTCTCTGATTCTGATTGGGCAGGGTGCCTAGATGAAAGATGCTCAACAGGTGGTTCTGATGTTTTCTTTGGACCTAACCTCATCTCATGGTGTGCAAGAAAACATGCTACAGTCTCACGGTCAAGTACTGAGGCAGAATACAAGGCTTTAGCAAATGCAACATCAGAAATCATTTGGGTCAAATCCATGCTCA